AAACCATTTTCTGAGTGTGAAGAACCCCTCTGCTGGGAACCTCCCTGTCATCTGCACGGAAGTCTGCTATCTGAATATCATGCTTGTCCATATCAAAATCCAGCTCCAGCTCCCCATCTTTAATTCTGAAAAACACCAAACACAAAAATAAAGAAGTTTTCCTCCCATCATCAGCACCCCGGTCTGCTCTTCTGTATCAGGATCCCAAGGGAACTTCTTGAGGAGCAGATAAAACAGTGTATTTCACACGCTCCATGGACCTCATTAGTCAGCCATTTAATTACAGGTACGTCTGTGTGGAACACCAAAACAGCAGAACACTTCAGAAGAGTCTTGATAGCACAGAAATATGGAATTCCCACTGCACAGACAGGAAAAGGAAGTAAATGTATTAAATGGTTTCCTCCGAGAAAAAGAGCATGCCCGTGACAGGCAGAACTAGACCCACCTCTCCTAACCCCCAGTGTGGCAGCCCAAGCACTCGGTCCATACAGAGGAGGAGGAAGAAATCCCTGCAGGTGTCGCTGCATTTGTTCCTCCAGTGGCCAGGCTGGATGACAGTGGGCTCAGACCAGCCAGGCCAGGTGCTGTCCTGAAGCTCTCTCTGATTTTAGCTCTTCCTCATCCTCGGGGCACTGCTGCCTTGCCACATGCCTCAGTCCTGTACCTGTGAACATTCCAGATGAGGACGTGCGTGCCCTTTTTGCCTGGAATGGCATCAAACTGTGCCAGCAGTTGACGAGGGTATGCTCCAGAATGGCCACCAGGCTAGGCACAGAGTCTTCAGTAACAATCATTTTCTCTAGAAGCCACAGAGTCAAGCAGCCCAGGGTTGCCCAGTTTTACCACAGGGGCAGAAGAAAATCCAGCTGCAAAGACCTGGTCACAGGCCTGACACGCCAGAGGGGTGTGACACAGGAGGATGGTCTCAGGGGAAGACTGAGCCAGGACAGACATGACAGTAGGACGCATTGAAGAAAAACACTTAAAAGTGCCAAGCTGAGTGGGGCGCAGCAATGTCACGCCAGCCGATAATATACAAGCGGTGCCAGTGAGCTGGATATTCTCAAGTCCCTTTGGCGTGAAGCAAACACAGTCTGGAAGAAGGCCAGCCCAGGCGGCACCAAAGGCCGTTACAGGAGCAGAGAAGCAGCAGAGAGCATAGCTCCTGGGCAAGGCATGTGCACATGGGTCTGCACGGCGGGGGGGAAGGGACAGAAGCAGGTAGGCCACAGGCTGGCAGCACGACTGCAAAGCCTTTCTAGGAGCCCGGTTAGCAGCAGATGCCCCCGAACAGACACACAACAAGTTCTAGCCCGAGGAAAAGGGAATAGTGCAGCATGGCAGTGTGTGAACAGCAAGGTGTGCCGCAGGGCTTCTCCCGGTGCAGCACCGATTACAGTTATTCTCACCCTCTCCAAACACTGTGCTGTGCGCACATGGCCAAGGGACAGCCGCAGGCAGTCTGTGTCCTCGGCCCGATGGCAGAGCCACTGGCTCCCCATGTGCCTTTGGAGAAGGGTAGCAGCTCGGCCATTCGGCCAAGGGAGGACACTGTTTTGCTGGTTGAATGACACCAGTGGGATAACCCCTGTCTCAGCAGAAACAGTCAGTGCAGGTCTGGGAAAGCAGCTCCACAATGAAAGCCCCTCCAGTCTTGGTGAAGCTGATGGCATCCATCCCTAGCCGCATGGAGCCAGTCTTGAAGCCACACAATCCAATGGACAGGTGGTGTCTCTTGACAGTCTTCTCCATGAAACCAAGAGCAAGCAAAGCAGAAGGGGGCTGGAAATAGGGACCACCCGCCTCACTCCAGGCACACGTCCACATTACCACTCTTAACTTTTGCAAAGGGAGCTTAGCTCCTGTTCCAGCCCTCTTCTGCCTTCACCACTGAAGAACCACATAAACGGTCAGAGGAAGAGTCGCTCGCAGACCCAATTTCTTTAGCACCTAGGGAAGAACTCCAAGTTCTAATGTACCCTAAGCACCTCCACAACATTTTTTACATTACAGAGAAATCAACAAACAGAGGAGCAAGGCACTCAATTTCCAGCACTGCACATGCAGGCCAACAGCCAGCCAGGTAAACCCCACGTGCCTGTTCTTCATAATTCTGCACTAAGCCCCACCTCTCACTGGCCCCTCTGGAATGCTTTGCACCAGCAAGAGGACGGCCCTCCTCCACTGCACACAATGACAGGGCAGGAAGGGGACAGGGCCTCTGTTTTTTATCTCCTGAACCCCACCAACTTTTCTGAAGTGCTATGGTTGTGTGTCTTCTGCATTTAAAGAAATAATTTTCTCTGTTTTGCTCCCCCACGTTTTGCTTATATCAAACAGAACGGTCAGACAGAAACAAAACCAAGCCCTAGCCCCTTCGTTCCTGTGGACAAGCTATAGCAAAAGATAAAAGCGCAGGAGTTTTGCATTGAAAGACTCCTTTCTTCAGCCTTAAAAACTTCCAGTCCAAGAGGCAACCAAAAAAGTATCAAGGACATAGAGCTGCTTTGCCCAAAAAACCTCATCCTGGCAAAGGACTTTCTGTGCTTGGGCTCAAAATGCCCTGGTAAAGTTACACCCTCTCTGTAAGGCTCGCATCACTAATGCTTCAAGTAAAAGCTTAAAATCTATTTTCATTGAAGTTAGTTATGTAAAAGACAAGCCCTACTGAACTGAAATTCCTTATCACAAAACATCACGCTTTAAATCTCTTGCCATTATCCTGCCTCATTCTTTCTCATCGCTATAGAAAAATACATCACGCAGGAAGATTAACATGAGATGAACACGTCCTCTGAAGACATGACTCATTTCAGCATCCACAGGCCAACACAGACAAGAGGGGAAACTCCTCCGTAACACTGGTCTACAGAAAAGGACTCTTGGGTTTGACTTCAGGCACATCTGTCCAGTTTTATATGGACCTGCTCTATGTCCCAGCACAAAGGCACCTCCTGCTTATTGTGCGGTTTGCACACTAAGGATCCAAATGGCTTCTGTTAGGGTAGTTTGCTGTGAGTGCCTAGATCACCCATTACACTCTGAGGCAGGCCGCGTACAGGCGCAGTTCTTTCGCACCTCTGCGTACTGGGAAGGTGAGAAGCAGGGAGAGGTGCGCCCACTAATGCCGGATGTTTATGATAGGATGCCAAAGGCCAGTGGCAATGCGTGCGGGAGAGCGGAGAATCCAGCCCAGCAGCTGGATGTGGGAGGGCTCGTTGCTCATCACCTGAGTATGCAGCAGAGGTTGCGAGGAGTCATTCCTACCCCGTTGTCCATAAAGGTGAGACAAAGGTGACCCTCGAACTCCACAACATCAACGCAGAAAAGCTTAGGAGTCACGCCGCGATGCGAAGCATTGGCTACAGAAAGAAGCACTAGCGGTATTTCACCCGCAATCCCTCCCAAACCTGCTTTGCCCTCTGGTCAGGTCCAAGGAGCACAAGCGGCTCCTCACCCCCTCTCTGCTGACGGGAGGCTGTGTCTGGGAGGGGGGCGGCGCGCTGGCTTGACCCGCGGGCGGCAGCACGGCTGCACAGCGGC